CTGAAAATGTCCTCCCAGACACACCTAGAAGTATATCTCTTAGATGATTATAAATCTAGTCTCATTAACAATGAAGGATAATCATCTCAGGTCTTAGGTAAGTCACCTTTTCTTCTAGGTTGAAAATAAAAAGAAAGCACATGCCTTCCATTTGCCCATCTGATTTACTTCTTTTTTAGATAGATAGAGAGGAAGAGAGAGAGAGAGAGATGCAGAGATAGAAAGACATATAGATGATAGATAGACCAAAGAGGTAGTAACCACATTTATAGTATGCAAAATAAAATCAAGATGAAATATTTGACACAGGAGACAAAGAAGATCATTCTATATTGTCATTCTGAGTTAAGACATCAGAATGGACAACTAAAAGTATATAATACATATTAATTCCATACCATTCCATACAAGCATGTAAGGAGAGATAGAGGTAATGCTATACTAGACACCCATGTCTACTTTAACATTGGATATAACATCAAGACAGAACATCAATAAGAAAACAGCAGACATGAGCTTCACTGAAGACATTCAAGAACTTTCAACACATATGTCACCCAGAGAGCTCTCTAGGACAGATTACTGGGGGTCACAAAGCAAGTGTCAGAATTAGGAAGATTGAAATCCCATGCTTGATTCAAACAACAGTCAGATGAAGTTAGACAAATAAAATGGGAAGCTAGGTCTGGAGATAATTCCAGATACTTGGGACACTGAAGCAGGAGGATTATGAGTTCTGGGTGAGAATCAAAAAAAAAAAAAAAAAAAAAAAGCTAAAAACAGGAAAGGGATGTGGTAGGTAGCTGTGAACCTACACAAAATTGTGTGCTTACTTCAAACACCATGAGGTTGTGTGTGTGTGTGTGTGTGTGTGTGTGTGTGTGTAGGTGTGTATGCATGTTCATTTGTGAGCAAATGTCACAAAACACTAGGTTTCATATGAAGTGGTATGAAAGATAATAATCATGAGAGAAAATCAGGAAATGACATAAATTCATCTAAGCCAAACAGCACATTCTTCAGTAACCATCAGGTCCAGTCATATCCAACACAGCATTACAACATGATGTTGTCACACTTAAGACCCATATAATCAAGTGGATCTTTAAAATTATGTATGTGGGGGCTGGAGAGATGGATCAGTGATTTAAAGCACTTGCTACTTTTGTATGGAACCTGAGTTCAATCCCCAGCCCACACATGGTGCCTCATGAGCAGTTTTGTGGGTATCTGATGCGTTCCTCTGGCTTCTGTGGGCACCGCATGCATGTGGTGAACAGACATTCACAGTGAGAAACACTCACAGACATAAAATAAAAATAAACAAATTTCCTTTTAAAAATCTTCTTCACACACACATACATACACAATGCCATAGTGGGCTGAGGAGATGGCTTGGTCAGCAAAGAATTCGTCACAAAGGTATGAGGACTTGAGCTTGCTACCAAGTATCCATTCAAAAAGCTGAGCTTAGTGGTATTAGTTTGTCATTCTAGAGCTGGAGAAAGGCAGAGCCCTGGGCCTTACGTGCCAGAAAGTCTAGCCTGTTTTGTGTTTCAAACCTCCAAGTGAGAGAACCTATTGCAAGAAACACTGTAGATGGTTCCCTAGGAACAAGACTTGTAATGGTTACTTTTTCTAAGTTTGACAAAAAAACTAAACACATCTGGGAAGAGAGAATCTCAGTTGAGGAATTGCTTCCATCATGTTGGCCTGTAGGTATTTTGTTGAAGAAATTTCTTGATTGCTGATGATGTGGGAGGGCTTGGACCACTGTGAACTGTTTCATCCCTAGGCAGGAGGTCCTGGGTGATGTAAGGAATCAAATTGAGTGAGTCATGGAGATAAAACGAGCAACAGTGCTTATCACAACATAAAACAAACTAGGCTGCTTGCAAATTGGACCCTGGCTCCAGCGTACATGCGCACTTGTATTATTATTATTAGTATTAGTAGTAGTAGTAGTAGTAGTAGTATTTTACATATCGATCCCAGTTCCTTTTCTCTCCCACCCTCCCATCCCATTCCCCACCCATTCCACAGGAAGGGTGAGGCCTTCCAGGAGGAATCATCAAAATCTGTCAAGTCATTTGGAGTAGGGTCTAGACTCTCCCTCAGCCTCTAGGCTAAGGGAGTATCCCTCCATGGGGAAGTGTGCTCGCAAAGTCCTTTTGTGAATCAGGGATACATCCTGTTTCCACTGTCAGAGGTCCCTTAGACTGCTCAGGCCTTCTAACTGAGACCCATGTTCAGGGGGTCTGAGTAGGTCCAATGCTGGTTTCCCAGCTATCAGTCTGGGGTCCATGAGCTCCCCCTTGTTCATGTCAGCTGTTTCTGTGGGTTTCTGTAGCCTGGTCTTGACCCCTTTTCTTATCACTCCTCCCTCTGTGCACTGGATTCCAGGAGTTTGGCTCAATGTTTAGCTGTGGGTGTTTGCTTCTGTTTCCATCAGCTACTAGATGAGGGCTCTATGATGGCATATCAGTTAGTTATCAATCTCATTATTAGGGAAAGGCACTTAAGGTGTGTTTTTGCAGATTCTGCAGCTTTGGTTTTTACGGCCCATTTTTAATTGGGCTATACTTTTTCTTGGTGCTTTTTTTTTCACTTCTGTGTGAGTTCTAGATATTAATCTCCTACCTGTTTTTCTCCCATTTTGTGAGTGTTTCTTCTCACTCAGCTAACTATTTACTTTCCCGTACAGAAGCTTTTTTGTTTCATGCAGTCCAGTTTTTCAAATGTTGGCCTTAATTCCCAAGAATAAAGTCCTATTTGGTCCTGAGAATCTATGTGCAAGAGGTAGTTTGTAAAATGCAAATCCATCAACACTTACTGTAATACTTTTTGTATTAACCTTTATAATAGAGTTAAAATTAATCTAAGCATTACCATTACTATTATAACATTCTGAACTGGAATATACTGTAGCTTTCTGTCTTTTTTCTCCCAAACACTTACCTCTGTTATAATTTTTTTTTCTAATTTAAGACCTTTATTAACAGGTTCTTGGAGTTTGTTTACTGTTTTTTTAATCAAGTTGTAAGCTTTTATTACAGATTAAAAATGAAGTTCTTAAAAATCTCAACTTGACCAGATATGAAACAATTTAAAAACCATTAAAGGTGTATTGAGAAAAACCAGACCTTCTTTTTTAAAAGGAAAAAAAAATACGTTTGTCATACCAAAAGGAGACATCTTTAGGTAAAAATAATAAAAACGCCATGCTACATAGATAATGCAGATAGTTCTAGTGTATTTGGTCAACAGGCAAAAAGCAAGCACTTAAGGTCTTCAACTCCAACCTTTGTTCATTCCTTATTGCTGGAATTTCATATTCATTTCTTCTTGTTGCATGACCAAACCGGATGGGATGGTAGAGATGGTAAGCCGGCATTTACTCAGCCCTGCCCTGCTCAGCCTCGGGAGCTGACGAATTCTCAGCTGATGGATCGGCTGCTTTTGTCTCTTTGCCATCTTGTGGTTTAGGGCTCTCTGGGCGTCTGCGTCGGTAATTGAAGTTGCGGCGATACCGACGCTGAGTTGGCTACTGACCCTGGGTCTCCTTGATTTTCCTTGTCCTCTTCATTCCCGTCCTCTCTAGGCTGTCTTTGGCTAGGAGGGCCCCTGCAGAATCGTGGTCTGCAACCCTGATACATATTCTGTCTTACTGGTCTACCTTGCTCTCCTGCACCCGGTTGTCAGCACCCTCCATCACTTCTTGCACAGGAGGATTGGAATACTGTGGTCGATGCCCATAGGGTCTCCACAAGTAGTGAGGCAGGAACCTTCGCCTGCGATAGGGTCGGTGTTGTTGGGTTTGGCCTTCAGGAGCACTTTCCGATCCCTTGTTCTTTTTCCCACTCTCACTCTTCTGGTATTTTTCCGGAAATTAATTGCATGGAGGATCCCCACCCGCTTCGCTGCCCGTGGAGCCAGGCTTGGTGTCGGTGGTGCTGAGGGCGGCGGTGTGTGGCTGCTGGGTCTCAGCCTCGCTGCTCATGGTTGCCTTGGTGGTGACTGGGGCCATGGCGATGGCTGAGACTCCCCATTGGGTGTGATAGTGACTTGGCCAGTGGGGCTTTCAGGGCTCTCTGGGGTCCGCTCTCCGCTCCCGCTACCGATCGAACTCTGCTATAAATTTTTGTACTATTAACTCAAGCACTCCCTGAGATGGAAGGTCACCACCTTCACTGAGTCAGGTAGGTCTTACAAGGTCTCAAATATACTTCTCCTGTGGCCACCCATCCATTTATGGGCCTATCAGTTCCCCTAGTTAACTCAGAAAAGAGTGGAGCATCCCCCTTGTGTCTTCCTATGGTCAACTGAAGACCACCAGATAGTGGCAGACAGCATATACAATGGAAGAGAAGAAGAACTCTTGAACAGACTTGATATCTGGCAGAGAGAGGATTTACCTACTATTGGTTTAATGTGAACCGAAGAGTCTGACAGAGTGTTTCTCTGCTGCTCTGCATCTACTTAAATCACACATTTATATCTTCCCATAAGCATTACTTAGTCTGGGGAGATTACGGGACATGACAAGGACCACAAACTGCTGTGTGGACGGACGGATGGGCTGCAGGAATGAAAGACAACCCCCAAGGGGAGGCTCTAAGAGTTAAGACCTTCCTTCAGTCACTCATTGATTGGCTCAGGAATAAAGAGGATATATTTGCAGCTATTTGCTGATGTTAGGGGGATAAAAAATAAATGGGGCAGGCAGTGGATTTGCCTGTGTGACACCCCTTTAGTGTCATCTAAGAGTCTGGTGCCTGAGCTAGCCATAAGCCAGGGGAAATGAAAGCATGCCTCCTCGGGGTGATATTTTCTTTTCCCTGAAACGAGAAACCACAAGACACAGAGCACAGTCCCTGCGGTGACCAAATCTCCTTCATCTGTAAGTGCTGTCAAGCACCGTGGTCTCATCCATCTGTGGAAGGAAATACCATGATCGCCATCCTCACTGTCCTGCTTTGCATTGGTGAAGTCTGATGGGGTGGAAGGGGCACTGTAATCTGAGAATGGTTTTGTTTGAGACTAAGGTCCAGATTTCTACATAGGATGCAGGGACTCGGGGGGCTCTTGGGAGAATGCAATATGATAAGCATTTGGGTGACAAATATCTTGCAGGGGATATTCATCCAGGCCTGGGTCTGAGCACCAATACTACCACAGTGGTGAAAGGTGAGTGAGTAGCTTCCCAGCTGTCCTAACTCCCTCATCCTCATTGGAGACAACAGATACTGTCTTGTGCTGTAAGGATGGTGGAGAACAGTGAGTGAGAGCTGATTATCTTGTAACCTGGGAGCTCCTAGGACTAAGTGCAAGAATAAGAGGAGTCATATTTTGGGAATCCAACATTTGAATTTTTTTTCAGGAACACTCCCTCCACCCATGCTTTGGGCTGAGCCAGGTTCTGTCATCTCTTGGGGGAAGTCTGTGACCATCTTGTGCCAAGGAATCCTCCAGGCACAGGAGTACTACTTGAATAAAGAAGGAAGGACACCAGGCTTATACAGACAGACCCTAATGGAGCCTGGGGCCAAGGCTATGTTCCCCATACTATTCGTTACAGAGCACCATGCAGGAGAATATCGCTGTCACTACGAGAGTCCTGCTGGTTCTTCGGAGCATAGTGACATGCTGAAGCTGGTGGTGACAGGTAAGAGGACATTCATGAGTCCGGTGTCCTGTCATCGCACAGACACAGGGAAAGGACAATGTGTGCTCTGTGAACCCCTTAGCAATCTGCCTCCTTCTCTCCTAGATGTCTATAGTAAACCCAGCCTGTCAGCCTTGCCCAGTCCTGTTGTGACCCCAGGAGGGAATGTAACCTTTCAGTGTGTCTCATGGTTGGGATTTGGCGCCTTCATTCTGACTGAGGAAGGAGAAAACAATCTCTCCTGGACTCACGGCTCACAGAGACATCCAAATGGGCACATGCAGGCCCTTTTTCCTATGGGTCCCATACATCCCAGCCACAGGCGGACATTCAGGTGTTATGGGTACGACAAGAGCAATGCCCAAGTATGGTCAACACCCAGTGACACCCTGGAGCTCATAATCTCAGGTGAGAATATCTTCCTTGACACAGCTATTTTAAAATAGTTTTTGCTTCGTTTTGTTTGTTCAAATAATATAACTTTAACTGGTGTAAAAAACATTACACATGGTGCTGTGGTTCCTAAAGATGTCTCCATACAAATTCATTATATAGTTTGGGTACATTCTCACCACACCTCACTATCTGCTACTCTCTGACTTTCTCCTTCCTCTTAGTCTACTCTCTTTAATTTCTCTTTTCATACCATATATGCATGTATGATATTTTGTAGCTATATATGAATATAAGACTTAGTATGAAAGAAGACATACTACACAGCAGCTGCAAAAGCTGAGTTTCTTTTATTCCATTCTTCTGACATATAGTTCTAGCTAAGACTTCAAGCAATGAATTGAATTAATATGGAGAGAATGGCCTCTTGCCTTTCTGATTTTACCCACTGAACTACTCCACTGAAGCTTGATTTTAATGAGTAACCATCCCTCTTTTGATAATGTGGTGGTCAGTATCCGATTTTGTATTTTCTCTTGCTTTTGGTTTGTAGTTCTATTTTTCCCCAATAAGGGTTAAAATAGAATACAAGAGATCATTTCCACTCTTCTGTTGTAAGACCAGCCCTCAGCAACTCAGGAATGGAGGGGGAACTATGGAATTGGTGAACTTACTGTACAATACGACTCTTACATCTGAGGGAGTAAAACTTAATTCTCTGGAGCTGGTGAGTGGGGGAAAAACTTAGTTCTCTGTGGACCTTGAAAAAGAGGAACACACACACACACACACACACACGTGTGCGCGGCTTCAGGGTCTTTCTATTATCTCTCTCTTATATCTTTATTTCATTTTTTTACTTCTATCTCGATTTATTCCTTCAGTATATTCTTAACTTTTGCCTCTTTCAAGCAGAATAAAAGTTACTATGTGGTTACATTCTATTTTTAAAGTGTATACTTTTTTAAAGTGTACAATCTAAACTTTTACATATAAAAACCATTAATCAGCTCCACTTTAAATCCTCAGGGCACATACACACTCATCAACAGTTTTTCTATTTAATCATACCAGGAAGCCAAGTGTGCAGAAATAGACACAGGAAATTATTTATCACCGTTGACCACTAATAATGCCTGGGCTATCTTTGTTCGTGTTTCCTGACCTTAATGGATCTCTTGTTAAACTATTAAACGTGTGTTTTCTTTTTCTAAACTTTAAATTGTTCCCCATGATTTTCTACCTCAAACCCACTAACAAAAACACCTTAACCTAATCTAACAATCTACAAGTCTAAATCCTTTGTACGGTTAGTGGTTGAGTTATTTAATCTGCTCCAGCAGCAATGCTTGGAAAAAGTCAGTCACTATTATTGTAATTAACAATACCACTGCCCAGTGAGGGATTAGCATCCCCCTGAGTGTTTTTATACAACCCATAGACTATGAGGGATGCCATGACTGACCATGAAGGCAATAATCAGAGATACACTCAATAATAGCTTGAGGTTCTCAGGATCCATAGTCCTCGGGACTTTGTGTCTCCAAGGATCACACAGGTATGGCTTTGCCAACCACCAAGTCATGTTCCATGAGTTTTAATGTTGCTTGGCAGTCCCCTCACAAGGCCCCCAACACTACTCTATCATTTGTAGAGATTTGTTTTGTATCACATGACCAGTTCTGGAGAATGTCTATGGGCTGCTGAATGGAATGAACTTTTTTTTTTTTTTTTTTTTTTTTTTTTTGCGGTATTTAAGTGGAACTGTCTGCACATGTCTGGTGAGTCTATTTGGTTTATAATGTCATTTAACCCAGGTGTTTCTCTCTTTGTGTTTTATTGGCATGGCCTGTCTATTGGTGCAAGTGGATGTGTTCAGGTTACCTACTATTGCTGTGCTGATATTAATCTGTGTTTTTAATATGGTAATAACCATTCACGATCCTGAAATCTTGTGTGTGTCGTTTCTCAATAACTCCATAATGACTACCTCTATCAAGGTATCTCTTTCCTTGCTCTTCCTCTCTGTCCTTCCCCAAACTCGACCTTCCTGATCCCCATTTCTCCTCCGCCCTTCTTCTCCTCCCTTCCCCACTCCCCTACCTCACTCACCCCTACCTTCATGCTCCCAATTGACTCAGAAGATCTTGTCTATTTCCCCTTCCTGTGAGGGAATCAGTGTATGTCTCCCTTAGTGTCCTCCTAGTTTCCCGGATTCTCTGGGGTTGTGGTCTGTAGGCTGCTCATCCTTTGTTTTATGTCTAATATCCACTTATGAGTTAGTATATCCATGTTTGTAGACATCTGCTGTGGTGATACATTATTTATGATTTATTAAGCTTGCCTGAGGATTCAGAAAGCAAGCTATAAAGACGAGGCAGTGATGGGGGATGTCCTTCTATATATATGTTTCTCTTATTGGTTGATGAATAAAACACGGTTTGGCCAGTATCCAGACAGGAAGGATAGGTAGGGCTACCAGACCAGGAGAAGGCTGGGGAGAGGAAGGAGAGAGGCTTCAAGGGAGACCCCATACTGCCCAAGGTATAACATGCCAGATTACAGGTAAACCACAGCCTGGTGGCAATACATAGATTAATAGGAATGGGTTAATAATTAAGACAGAGCTAACCAAGGAAGTCCTAGCCTTTGTCTAATAGTTTATAAATTCATATAAGTCTTTGTGTGTTTATTTGGAACTAATCAGCTGCAGGACCAGGCTGGAAAGAAACTCCAACAACAACACAGTGGTGATACACACCTTTAATCCCAGCGGCTGTATAGCTAGGCAGTGGTGGTACACACCTTTCATCTCAGGACTCAGGATTAAGAGATAGATGGATCTCTGTTAGTTCAAGGCCACACTGACCACAGAAAACAGATCTAGTCCTAAAACAAACAGCTCACACAAAGGTGATCTCTTCTTTGTATTGTTTTCCTTGTTTCTACTTTATTGATTTCAGCACTCAGTTTGATTATTTCCTGACATCTACTCCTCCTGGGTGAGTTTGCTTCATTTTGATCTAGAGCTTTCAGGCATTCTCTAGTGTGACTATTCTCCAGTTCATGTGGGCATTTAATGCTATGAACTTTCCTCTTATTACTGCTTTTAGAGTGTCCTGTAGGTTTGGGTATGTTGTGCCTCCTTCTTTTTCATTGAATTCTAGAAGTCTTTGATTTCTTTCTTTACTTTTTCTTTGATCCAGGAGTGGTGTAGTTGAGCATTGTTCAATTTCCATGAGTTTGTAAGCTTTCTGTAATTTGTGTTGTTGCTGAATTCTAATTTTAAGCCATGGTGGTTCAATACAATACAGGGGCTCATTCCTTTTTTTTTTTTTTTTTTAATGTGTTGAGGTTTGCTTTATTGCTGAGTATGTGGTGTTGTGAAGTTATATTCTTTTGTGTTTGGATGGAATGTTCTATAGATGTCTGTTAAGCCCAATTAGTGGTACTTCTGTTAGTTCCTTTGTCTGTTAAGTTTCTGTCTAGTTTTCCTATGCAGTGGTGAGAGTGGAGTATTGAAGTTTCCCACTAGAAGTATGTGGGATTTAATGTGTGATTGGACTTTCGGTAATGTTTCTTTTATGAATGTGGGTGCCTTTGTATTTGGGGCATAGATGTTTAGAATTGAGAGTTCATCTTGGTGGATTTTTTTTCTGTGATGAGTATGAAATGACCTTCCTCATCTCTTTTGATTCATTTTAGTTTGAAGTCTAATTTGTTAGAATTTAGGATAGCTACACCAGTTTTTTTCTTACGGCCATTTGATTGGAAAAATGTTTCCTCAACCTTTAACTCAGAGGCAATTTCTGTTTTTGAAGTTGAGGGGTGTTTCATATATGCAGCAGAAGGGTGGATTCTGTCTTCATATACATTCTGTTACCCTTTGTCTTTTTTAAGATGAGTTAAGCCCATTGGCATTGATAGATATTAATGACCATTGATTTTCAATTCTTGTTTGTTTCGGATTTGATGGTGGTGATGGTATGGTATGAATCCCCCCCTTCTGTCTTTTGGTAAAGTGGGATTATCTATTGCCTATGTTTTTGTGAGTCTAGTCAACTTCCTTGGGTTAGAGTTTCCAGACCCTTCTGTAAGGCTGGGTTTGTGGATATGTATTGTGTAAATCTGGTTTTGCATGGAACATCTTAGTTTCTCCATCTAGAGTGATTGAGAATTTTCCTGGTAGTAGTAGTCTGGACTGGCATCTGTGGTCTCTTACTGTTTGTGGATCTATCCAGGACCTTCTGGCTTTCAGAGTTTCCATGGAGAAGTCAGGTGTAGTTCTGATAGATGTTTTGATTATACTGTGGTGAGGGGACTTTTCTTCTTCTTCTTCTTCTTCTTCTTCTTCTTCTTCTTCTTCTTCTTCTTCTTCTTCTTCTTCTTCTTCTTCTTCCTCTTCCTCTTCCTCCTTCTCCTCCTCCTCTTCCCCCTCCTCCTCCTCTTCTTTTGGTCCGGTCTATTTGGTGTTCGGTAAGCTTCTTGTACTTTCATAGGCATGTCCTTCTTCAGGTTGGGAAAGGTTTCTTCTATGATTTTGTTGAATATATTTTCTGCATCTTTGTGCTGGGCTTCTCCTTTGTCTATGCCTATTATTCTTAGGTTTGGCTTTTTCACTGTGTCCCATGTTTCCTGGATATTTTTTCTTAAGGATTTGTTGGATTTAAGATTTTCCTTGGTCAATGAAACTAGTTTATCTTCAGTACCTGAGATTCTCTCTTCCATATCTTGTATTCTGTTGGTTATGCTTTCATCTGTATTTCTTGATCATTTACCCAGATTTTCTATTGCCAGCATTCCTTCAGTTTTTTTTTAAATCTCTATTTCAATTTTCAAGTCTTAAACTGTTTGGATTGTTTCCTTCATCTGATTGATTGTTTTTTCTTGGCTTTCTTTAAGAGATCTTTTTGATTTCTTGTATTTTTTGGTTTGTTTTTTCTTCCATTTCTTTAAGGGATTTTCTCATATCCTCTTAGAGGGCCTCTATCATTTTCATGAAGTTGTTTTTAAGT